TAGTGGAGCAACTGGAGCGAAAGAACTTTGTAACATAGCATCAACATGGGTTCAGGGATGGCAGGTCCTGCCTCACAGGGTTACTTGAATTCTACGACCAGGCAACAAAAATAAGGCAAGAAAGAGAAGAGTGGGCAGACTGCATATTTTTGGATTGTCAGAAAGCTGATAGTGTGCCACACAAGAGGCTAGTGAAAAAAATGGAGCTGCAGGCTAGAGTGAAAGGGAAGGTACTCCATTGGATAAAGGAGTACCTAAGCAACAGGAGACAGTCTGTGTGAGGGGTGAGGTCTCGGATTGACGAGACGTTACGAGTGGAGTCCCGCAGGGGTCAGTCCTTGGACCTATACTGTTTCTGATGTATGTAAATGATCTCCAAGAGGGTATAGAATCGTTTCTCTCAATGTTTGCCGATGATGCAAAAATTATGAGGAGGATTGAAACTGAGGATGATAGGAGGGTACAAGATGACCTAGACAGACTGAGTGAATGGTCCAACAAATGGCTGTTGAAGTTCAACCCTAGTAAATGCAAAGTAATGAAACCAGGCAGAGGAAACAGGAGGCCAGACACTGAATACAGAATAGGAGATGAAGTACTTAATGAAACGGACAGAAAGATCGATCTAGGAGTTGATATCACACCGAACCTGTCTCCTGAAGCCCACATAAAAAGAATAACGTCTGCGGCATATGCGAGGCTGGCTAACATCAAAACAGCGTTCAGGAACCTGTGTAAGGAATCATTCAGAATCTTGTACACCACATATGTAAAACCAATCTTGGAGTATGCGGCCACAGCATGGAGCCCGTATTTTGTCAAGCACAAGACAAAGCTGGAAAAAGTCCAAAGGTATGCCACTAGACTAGTCTCAGAACTAAGAGGCAGGTGTTAAGAGGAAAGGCTGCGGGAAATGCACCTTACGACACTGGAAGACAGAAGAGTAATGGGAGACATGATCACAACCTACAAAATCCTCAGAGGAATCGACCGGGTAAACAAGGATAAACTATTCAACACTGGTGGGACGCGAACAAGGGGACACAGGTGGAAACTGAGTACCCACATGAGCCACAAAGACGTTAGAAGGAACTTTTTCAGTGTCAGAGTAGTTAACGGATGGAATGCATTAGGCAGTGATGTGGTGGAGGCTGACTCCATACACAGTTTCAAATGGAGATATGATAGAGCCCAGTAGGCTCAGGAATCTGTATACCAGTTGATTGACAGTTGAGAGGCGGGACCAAAGAGCCAAAGCTCAACCACCGCAAGCACAAATAGGCGAGTACAAATAGGTGAGTACAGTCAACACCCCCCACACAACTAATGTGCTCACTTCATCGTTTGGATTGTCTAAATGTGGAAAGAAGAAACATGGTGAATGATAGCAAATATATGCAAGAGAATACTCAAGTGGATGTACCAAAATATGAAATGTCAGTGAGAGGATGACGTGGCAACGGTAAACTATCCTGTTTTAACTTAATAATCAAGGTTACAATCAAGATCAAAAATTAAAACTAAGCGTTTCAAGAAAGTGGGGAATCTTGTACCCGGTACTCTACATGACGAGGATAAGGGCAAGAGGGATCCTACTTGAATGTTGATACAATTGTCACGAAGGTAGTCCAAAAAATGTAAGGATTTCTTACCTTGTCTCTAATGACGAGAGCAAAGATAAGAGGTTTCCTACTAAAACTAGATAGTACTTAAAGAATTGACAATCTTTGTGTTCTGGAAAATGTTAACTCCCTACCTGTGTAAGTACCATATCTCTGACCGACGCGTAGGGGTGCGAAGTGTCAATAATGACGAGAACTGTTTGTAGGGGTCCCAACCTTACAGCATAATCCATGCTAGAGGAACTTTGACCCTCTATATCTTCCTACGTTCGGGTTGCAAAGATGTGGGTGTATTTGACTAGAAGACAGACCAAAGTACCAGGGTACGAAAGGGGTGTATGAGAACTCTCCTATAAGGACGAGAATAAGGTGGGAACACAGGATATAGTAAAGATTATGGAACCACCAATCACGAGCATGACTGTGGCCACAAGACACCACGTAATCCAAAGTCGTCCAACAATCATAAAATGCTACACCTGGAAAGCAAACAGTATGAAGCACCATTAAAATTAGTCAAAGAATAAGAATTCAGAAAAAATAAATTGGTAATAAGGCCAAGTACAGTTACCACAACATTTAAGTGGTAACTTAAAGTGGTAACATTTAAGTTCTTCTAGACATTAAGTCTAGAAGCATTACCTGAGCGAGGCTCCTAGGACAGGCCCCCAATTTGTGACGGTAAACGTTGGTGGTCGAGCAGTCTAATGCCTGTCACAAAATATTAAAAAAAAAAAAAGTAAACTGCAAAAGGTGTATTCACAGTGAGGCAAACTATAGAATAAAGCAGAGGGGAAAAAAACATTTAAAAATACTTTACTTTAAAAAATAAATTAAACAAATTACAAAAAATATCCAGGCTTGGCTTTAATACAAAATATGCAAAACAAACAAGATGAACAATCAAATTTACGTTATGTTAAGGTGCAAAATAAAATATGGTGCAGAATACCATGAGCTAGTCTGACTAAATCCATTACCACACAGAGATGTGTCAGTGGGTCTACTCAGTTGAGCACACAGGAGTAATCTGAATCTTGGAGAGCTTGGTAGCCCTATTATACAGAGTATCAGCTGGCTAGAGGGCACTGATAGTCTTCTTTTAACTATGAACCGGCTGTTAAACTGCTTGTTACAGAGAGCTTGGCCTCCCAGGGACCCAGGTGCGAGGTAGGGTGACGGGCCATGGTGCAAGAGGGGGACTGGTAGACTGTCTAGACGTCTGGAAGTAGTTGTTGTTGTTGTTCTTGGATGCAGTTCTTTATTACATAGACGTGAATGAGTAGAATAGGCGATAATGGAGTAGGGCGAATCTCTTCCTAGAGATTTTACTGTGACAACTGTGAAAGGGAAGAGTCAACAGCAACAAAGCCAGGACTCAAGTTCATGTTGGGTACGTTGTGTATTAGAGCCGATTCAACAAGACGGCGTCTGTGTAGAGTAGAGGCAGGAAAGATTATTTTGGAGGAAGACCAATCAATAGGATGATTTAGAATCCCTAACATGACAGAAGAGAGCATTGTTTGTGTCTGCAGACTTAACACTTCTTTTGTGTTCTTTAAGTCTGTCATTAAGTGTGTGGCCAGTTTCGCCAAAGTATTGAAGAGGACAAGACGAACAGGAAATAGAGTAGACACCAGCAGCATTAGAAGCAGGAGCAGCAGTGTGAACTAAATTGCTACGAAGTGTGTTAGTTTGTCGAAAGGCAAGCTTTATGTCAAGAGGACGAGAGGTATTAGTAAAAGTTTTGAGTACAGATATGAAGGGAAGGCATAGTACAGTGCTGCTAGTGTTGGAAGCAGGTTTACGATGAAAGAACAAACGTGACCTAACATAAGCTTACCCTTCCATTTATCTTTTTTCTTTCTCCTTTTTCTGTCCATTGTTTTCTCTCACGTTCCCTTGTTATCCTCTTCTTATTCCTACTACTATCCCCATCTCATTGGGTGGTTATAAATAGGAGCTACCTCGTATGGGCCTTCTGCAGTTTTTATTCCTACTACTATCCCCTCTACTACACTTTACCTTTCGTACCTTTTGCCTTGCTCCTCACCTCTTTTGCCTATTTATTGCCTTCATCTCCTTCCCTCTTTACACACAGCACTGCTCCTGTGCCAGGTAAGTCCACTACGGGCTCATCATAGCCCGTGCTACTTGCCCCGCTCCTGTGCCAGGTAAGTTACGGGCTCATCATAGTCCGTGCTATTTGGAAGTTGTTCAGAGTAGCTGAATCTATACCAACTTCCCTCATCACAATCACATTCCGGCATATCATTGATGAACTTAATATGGACGGTCATAACTCCAATATTGTTGACAGGGTTGACAGAGGTGGTCTTTTTGAGCATGACTTTGATGGAGAGGATGTTTGTGATCTTCTCGGCGGCGTCACTGATCAGATTGGTTTGGCTGATCTTCACGACAATGATATTGACAGATATATTAACCACCTTCAGATGGCCTCTAATGAGGGTCATATGCCTCATAGTTGCGGGGCTGCCATTGGTGAAGTTGATGTGGACGATCTTTGTTGCACATTTGTTCTACAGGTGGAAAAATATAAATATATATATTTTTATAGTACACATACCTATAAACTAAAAGTTTATACAACTTTCTTTGGTCATTTTGCTTATTTTAAACTTTACACGAAAGTTACCATATATATTTAAACACTTACAATGTTGGGCTAAAGGTTTAGTGTTAAGGTCTTTCTGATACAAAATTCAACTACCTAGATTCGTGTAGGATTAGTTGTGCTCTCCTATGATCTCCATAACGTGTTGTCTTCAGAAACTACAATATTCTCTCTCCACAGTGAGAGGTAATCTAATGCCAAACATTTATTCCTGCAACACTTCAGAGGGTTAGTTCGTTACAGTAAATTTTTGGTTTCGGAGTCTCCTAATAAAGTTTAATTACGTGATTTGGGATCGAAACGTCGTTTCTCCATTTTCTGATGGATTTGCTCCTCATATCTCCAGACAAGTCATTGTGACTCAGTCTGAATTTGCTAAGACAACCTTTAAAGCTTTGCCCAGGAATCTATTAGGGTATCCTACTTTTTTTAATTGATTGAATATTTTATTCTTTTCAGTTTTAACCAATGAGGACTGCTGATTCACAATCCTAAGAAAAAACCCAAAGCAACACTTTTTTTTTTACTTCTCATGATTGGTGAAGTAACGGAGATAGTTACCTTTATATGTGTCTTTCCTGTGCACAGTGAAGTTCAGTGAGGTGTTATTCCTTATTACAAATACGTCTAGAATGGGTAATTTATCATCACACTTCCATTCAATTCTAAATTTGATACTAGGAACTAGAGCGTTCAGCCTCTCGAACTGAGACAGGCTCCCCATCTATCCTTCCAACTTGTAAATGTCATCAACGTAACTGTACCGAAATAATGTCTTGAGGTCTGATCTTAGGAAGGACACATGTCTCGTAGTTCTCAAAATGCACGTTAAATAACTATGGTGATGGGCTACTACCATACTACATCCATACTTTTGACAACGAAAGTACATAAGAGTAGGATATGCAGTGGCTATAGTAGTAATAATCTAGTAGTAATAATCCAACCACAATTGTTATAACGCTGAAAGTATGCTTAAAACGTAAATTCTAACACTTCCTCCATTTGTTGTGGACACAGCCCGGCCCCAAGGAAAAGTAAGTGAGGTAAATCCGTCCCCTACACACTGGACAGATTTTGAACACATGGGTGTTATTGGCTTTATCATCAAAGAATTTACCACCCATAACAAAACCTTTGGCGTTGCCTATTGACATTTACTCTATGAACAGAACCCCCTTTTGATTGAGATCAAGACTTGGAAACAAAATATTCTAGGCAAGCTCAAAGCTTCTGATGGAAGCATAGTGCAACAATACCCCTAAGTACATTAAATCCTCTCCAAGCTGACTCCTACCCCCCTCCCCCCCTATGAATAGCTACTTACGGGCTATTCATGCCCGTGCCGCCTCCTGGTTGTCTTGATCAATCAACCCCCCCCCCCCCGCCCACGGGCTATTCATGCAAGTGCCAATTAAAAAATCGAACCTCTCCCTCACACACGACTTGATGATGAACCACTGAACCAGGACGACTTGATGATGAACCGACATGACCATCGCAGTTTCCCTCACACACGACTTGATGATGAACTAACACTGTTTATTGATGATGAACCTCTCTTGACTTTCGTATCGTTGGCAAATTTGCAGATATTGCTGCTCAAACTTGAATCTAAATCCTTTATTTATATTATTAAAAATAGAGATCCCAGGTCAGAGCCTTGAGGCAATCCATTTGCAACATTTTCCAACTCTGACCAAACTCCATTTGTACTAACTCTTTCCATTGGTTTAACCATGCCATAATCCAACTTAATATAGTATCCCAATATAGTTTTTAATAATTTTTTCAGGTGGTACTATCAATAGCTTTGTCTAAGTCAAGGTACACATTGCCACAAACCTTTCCACGAGGAAAGGCGAACTTGCATTCCTCAACTATTCTGCAATAGTTGAGAAACTGCTTCAACTATTCTGTAATAGAATGATGGTAAATTTGTTAAACATGAACGACCGTAGTAAAACTTCTGAATCATTTAATAATCTATGCTCACAAGATGAAGACCAATGGCTTTTGCAATTGTCTATACAAGCAATTTTCACACAATATACATTGTTCTTCATCTTCCAGATCACTACACCTTCTCCTTTATCTGCGGGCTTGATGACGATGTCAGTACTTTTCTTTAATCGGTTTAGCGCATCTCTTAAGATTTTTTCCAGGTTGCATCTGGTCCTAGTTGTTGCTGTATCCTTAAGGTTTCCCTTCATCTCTTGTATTTTCACTTGAAGACCTTCCAAGTTGTAGGTGGGCGGCGTTTCCGGTTGTTTTAAGTTGAAGTATCTGTAAGAGAGAGGGAGGGAGGGAGGGGCCAAGAGGGACACTCGTGTCTTCTCTTCTCTCACCTTAATCTTCTTGTTTTTCTGGTTAGTTTGTCCAAAACTGTTAATACCTTCCTCTTGTTCATCACAACATTCCTCTAATGTTCTCCACCTTTTGTCCCTTCCTGGCGGTCCCATTACAAAGGTGATGCCTTTAACTAGTAATTCCTCTTCCACTTTGTTAGCGGGACTTATGAGACGAGAAGTACAACCCCCAGTACTGCTGCTAGTACAACCCCCAGTACTGCGGCTAGTACAACCCCCAGTACTGCTGCTAGTACAACCCCCAGTACTGCTGCTAGTACATCCCCCAGTACTGCTGCTAGTACAACCCCCAGTACTGCTGCTAGTACATCCCCCAGTACTGCTGCTGGTACATCCACCAGTACTGCTGCTAGTACATCCACCAGTACTGCTGCTGGTACATCCACCAGTACTGCTGCTAGTACATCCCCCAGTACTGCTGCTGGTACATCCCCCAGTACTGCTGCTGGTACATCCCCCAGTACTGCTGCTGGTACATCCCCCAGTACTGCTGCTAGTACATCCACCAGTACTGCTGCTAGTACAACCCCCAGTACTGCTGCTAGTACATCCCCCAGTACTGCTGCTAGTACATCCACCAGTACTGCTGCTAGTACATCCACCAGTACTGCTGCTAGTACATCCCCCAGTACTGCTGCTAGTACAACCCCCAGTACTGCTGCTAGTACAACCCCCAGTACTGCTGCTAGTACATCCACCAGTACTGCTGCTAGTACATCCACCAGTACTGCTGCTAGTACATCCACCAGTACTGCTGCTAGTACAACCCCCAGTACTGCTGCTAGTACAACCCCCAGTACTGCTGCTAGTACAACCCCCAGTACTGCTGCTAGTACATCCACCAGTACTGCTGCTAGTACAACCCCCAGTACTGCTGCTAGTACATCCACCAGTACTGCTGCTAGTACATCCCCCAGTACTGCTGCTAGTACAACCCCCAGTACTGCTGCTAGTACATCCACCAGTACTGCTGCTAGTACATCCACCAGTACTGCTGCTAGTACATCCACCAGTACTGCTGCTAGTACATCCACCAGTACTGCTGCTGGTACATCCACCAGTACTGCTGCTAGTACATCCCCCAGTACTGCTGCTAGTACAACCCCCAGTACTGCTGCTAGTACATCCACCAGTACTGCTGCTAGTACATCCACCAGTACTGCTGCTGGTACATCCACCAGTACTGCTGCTGGTACATCCACCAGTACTGCTGCTAGTACAACCCCCAGTACTGCTGCTAGTACAACCCCCAGTACTGCTGCTAGTACATCCACCAGTACTGCGGCTAGTACAACCCCCAGTACTGCGGCTAGTACAACCACCAGTACTGCTGCTGGTACATCCACCAGTACTGCTGCTAGTACATCCCCCAGTACTGCTGCTAGTACATCCACCAGTACTGCTGCTGGTACATCCACCAGTACTGCTGCTGGTACATCCACCAGTACTGCTGCTAGTACATCCCCCAGTACTGCTGCTAGTACATCCACCAGTACTGCTGCTGGTACATCCACCAGTACTGCTGCCAGTACATCCACCAGTACTGCTGCTAGTACATCCACCAGTACTGCTGCTAGTACATCCACCAGTACTGCTGCTAGTACATCCACCAGTACTGCTGCTAGTACATCCACCAGTACTGCTGCTAGTACATCCCCCAGTACTGCTGCTAGTACATCCACCAGTACTGCTGCTAGTACATCCACCAGTACTGCTGCTAGTACATCCACCAGTACTGCTGCTGGTACATCCACCAGTACTGCTGCTGGTAAATCCACCAGTACTGCTGCTAGTACATCCACCAGTACTGCTGCTAGTACATCCACCAGTACTGCTGCTAGTACATCCACCAGTACTGCTGCTAGTACATCCACCAGTACTGCTGCTAGTACATCCACCAGTACTGCTGCTAGTACATCCACCAGTACTGCTGCTGGTACATCCACCAGTACTGCTGCTAGTACATCCACCAGTACTGCTGCTGGTACATCCACCAGTACTGCTGCTAGTACATCCACCAGTACTGCTGCTAGTACATCCACCAGTACTGCTGCTAGTACATCCACCAGTACTGCTGCTGGTACATCCACCAGTACTGCTGCTGGTACATCCACCAGTACTGCTGCTGGTACATCCACCAGTACTGCTGCTGGTACATCCACCAGTACTGCTGCTAGTACATCCACCAGTACTGCTGCTAGTACATCCACCAGTACTGCTGCCAGTACATCCACCAGTACTGCTGCCGGTACATCCACCAGTACTGCTGCCAGTACATCCACCAGTACTGCTGCCAGTACATCCACCAGTACTGCTGCCAGTACATCCACCAGTACTGCTGCTGGTACATCCACCAGTACTGCTGCTGGTACATCCACCAGTACTGCTGCTGGTACATCCACCAGTACTGCTGCTGGTACATCCACCAGTACTGCTGCTGGTACATCCCCCAGTACTGCTGCTGGTACATCCCCCCCCGGCACTGCGGCTACCGCTGCCTGGTACATCCACCAGTACTGCTGCTGGTACATCCCCCAGTACTGCTGCTGGTACATCCCCCAGTACTGCTGCTGGTACATCCCCCAGTACTGCTGCTGGTACATCCCCCAGTACTGCTGCTGGTACATCCCCCAGTACTGCTGCTGGTACATCCCCCAGTACTGCTGCTGGTACATCCACCAGTACTGCTGCTGGTACATCCCCCCCCGTACTGCTGCTGGTACATCCCCCCCCGTACTGCTGCTGGTACATCCCCCAGTACTGCTGCTGGTACATCCCCCAGTACTGCTGCTGGTACATCCACCAGTACTGCTGCTGGTACATCCACCAGTACTGCTGCTAGTACATCCCCCAGTACTGCTGCTGGTACATCCACCAGTACTGCTGCTGGTACATCCACCAGTACTGCTGCTGGTACATCCACCAGTACTGCTGCTAGTACATCCCCCAGTACTGCTGCTGGTACATCCACCAGTACTGCGGCCAGTCCTGGTGTAGTGCTAGAACCAGCGGGCACCAGCCCCCCCCCTTCCAGCAGTGGCGGCTGCGGGCACCAGCCCCCCCCCTTCCAGCAGTGGCGGCTGCGGGCACCAGCCCCCCCCCTTCCAGCAGTGGCGGCTGCGGGCACCAGCCTCCCCCCCCCCTTCCAGCAGTGGCGGCTGCGGGCACCAGCCTCCCCCCTCCCTTCCAGCAGTGGCGGCTGCGGGCACCAGCCCCCCCCCCTTCCAGCAGTTGCGGCTGCGGGTACCAGCCCCCCCCCCCTTCCAGCAGTGGCGGCTGCGGGCACCAGCCTCCCCCCACCTTCCAGCAGTGGCGGCTGCGGGCACCAGCCTCCCCCCACCTTCCAGCAGTGGTGGCTGCGGGCACCAGCCCCCCCCCCCCATTCCAGCAGTGGCGGCTGCGGGCACCAGCCTCCCCCCACCTTCCAGCAGTGGCGGCTGCGGGCACCGGCCTCCCCCCCCCCCTTCCAGCAGTGGCGGCTGCGGGCACCGGCCTCCCCCCCCCCCCTTCCAGCAGTGGCGGCTGCGGGCACCGGCCTCCCCCACCTTCCAGCAGTGGCGGCTGCGGGCACCAGCCTCCCCCCTCCCTTCCAGCAGTGGCGGCTGCGGGCACCAGCCCCCCCCCCCTCCAGCAGTGGCGGCTGCGGGCACCAGCCCCCCCCCTTCCAGCAGTGGCGGCTGCGGGCACCAGCCCCCCCCCTTCCAGCAGTGGCGGCTGCGGGCACCAGCCCCCCCCTTCCAGCAGTGGCGGCTGCGGGCACCAGCCCCCCCCCCTTCCAGCAGTGGCGGCTGCGGGCACCAGCCCCCCCCCCCCCTTCCAGCAGTGGCGGCTGCGGGCACCAGCCCCCCCCCTTCCATTAGTGGCGGTTGCGGGCACCACCCCCCCCTTCCAGCAGTGGTGTCTGCGGGTACCAGCCCCCCCTCTCCCAGCAGTGGTGGCTGCGGGCACCAGCCCCCCCCCTCTCCCAGCAGTGGTGGCTGCGGGCACCAGCCCCCCCCCCCATTCCAGCAGTGGCGGCTGCGGGCACCAGCCTCCCCCCCCCTTCCAGCAGTTGCGGCTGCGGGCACCAGCCCCCCCCCTCTCCCATCAGTGGTGGCTGCGGGCACCAGCCCCCCCCCCCCTCCCATCAGTGGTGGCTGCGGGCACCAGCCCCCCCCCCTCCCATCAGTGGTGGCTGCGGGCACCAGCCCCCCCCCCTCCCATCAGTGGTGGCTGCGGGCACCAGCCCCCCCCCTCTCCCATCAGTGGTGGCTGCGGACCCCAGCCCCCCCCCCCTTCCAGCAGTTGCGGCTGCGGGCACCAGCCCCCCCCCCCCTTCCAGCAGTGGCGGCTGCGGGCACCAGCCTCCCCCCACCTTCCAGCAGTGGCGGCTGCGGGCACCAGCCCCCCCCCCCCTTCCAGCAGTGGTGGCTGCGGGCACCAGCCCCCCCCCCCCTTCCAGCAGTGGTGGCTGCGGGCACCAGCCTCCCCCCACCTTCCAGCAGTGGCGGCTGCGGGCATCGGCCTCCCCCACCTTCCAGCAGTGGCGGCTGCGGGCACCAGCCTCCCCCCACCTTCCAGCAGTGGCGGCTGCGGGCACCAGCCTCCCCCCACCTTCCAGCAGTGGTGGCTGCGGGCACCAGCCCCCCCCCCCCTTCCAGCAGTGGCGGCTGCGGGCACCAGCCTCCCCCCACCTTCCAGCAGTGGCGGCTGCGGGCACCGGCCTCCCCCCACCTTCCAGCAGTGGCGGCTGCGGGCACCAGCCTCCCCCCACCTTCCAACCGGTGGCGGCTGCGGGCACCAGCCTCCCCCCACCTTCCAGCAGTGGCGGCTGCGGGCACCAGCCTCCCCCCACCTTCCAGCAGTGGCGGCTGCGGGCACCAGCCTCCCCCCCTCCTTCCAGCAGTGGCGGCTGCGGGCACCAGCCTCCCCCCACTTCCAACAGTGGCGGCTGCGGGCACCAGCCTCCCCCCCCCCTTCCAGCAGTGGCGGCTGCGGGCACCAGCCTCCCCCCACCTTCCAGCAGTGGCGGCTGCGGGCACCAGCCTCCCCCCACCTTCCAGCAGTGGCGGCTGCGGGCACCAGCCTCCCCCCACCTTCCAGCAGTGGCGGCTGCGGGCACCAGCCTCCCCCCCCCCTTCCAGCAGTGGCGGCTGCGGGCACCAGCCTCCCCCCCCCTTCCAGCAGTGGCGGCTGCGGGCACCAGCCTCCCCCCCCCTTCCAGCAGTGGCGGCTGCGGGCACCAGCCTCCCCCCCCCCTTCCAGCAGTGGCGGCTGCGGGCACCAGCCTCCCCCCCCCTTCCAGCAGTGGCGGCTGCGGGCACCAGCCCCCCCCCCTTTCCAGCAGTGGCGGCTGCGGGCACCAGCCCCCCCCTTTCCAGCAATGGCGGCTGCGGGCACCAGCCCCCCCCCCTTCCAGCAGTGGCGGCTGCGGGCACCAGCCCCCCCCTTCCAGCAGTGGCGGCTGCGGGCACCAGCCCCCCCCCCTTCCAGCAGTGACGGCTGCGGGCACCAGCCTCCCCCCCCCCCTTCCAGCAGTGGCGGCTACGGGCACCAGCCCCCCCCCTCCCTGCGACACAGGCGACTATCCTCATCAAGGGTTTAAGAATATTCATTTTGTACATTGTTATAATTATTATTTATTATTATATAATTCTAGTTAAAACAAATACAATAAGGAAGCTCAATATTTTAGATGACAATCTCAGTAATGGCAATTCTGGATAATAGGAAAATCTACAACAGTTCCTTTACCATTTTTGAGTGTTTCCTAAACTACAGCAAGAACAATAATTATGCAACCCTGATGCAAAATGATGTACTATATTCCACAGTTGTTATTGTACATCTGTCAACTATGAGATTGGTCTAACTTCAACCCAAACAGCCACCCAAATATCATACCGCAATTCCTGCATCTGTCAACTCAACTGGGTGACTAGTCACTATTTTCATAGGGCAAACATTCCCGGATCTCGAAAAATACAAGAAATCCTAATGTTTCTCTACAAATCGGCTAACCTGTTTTCTAAAGTCGTACATACATATATACATATGTATATACATATATATTCTTCAGTACATACAATGTCTCGATACAAAATTATCAATTATTATAGGTTGGATCAATTTTTTTTTTTTTTAATCTTTCATACCTATTCTGACCACTTGTTCCTTCTGAATGTTCTAAGCTAATCTATACCTGTTTGTGGTTAAATCTGTCCATGGGGATGGGTGGTGAGCACGCAGTTGTTGGTCTCCACTCTCCCTGTGTTTGTCTGTCAGACTGGTGTTGCCAGCGGCTTTAATCGGCCGAAACGTTCATCGCCCTTTCCCATTTCTCTGTGGATTTTCCGCATACAAATGATCAGTGTTTCGTGATTGTCAATTACATATATTGTAAATGTGTCAATATCCCATTTTTTGCCAATGACACTTCTATTCGTCAGATGTAATTGATTATATCCCTAAACAGTTTGAAAATATGGACTAGTCTAGCAAAAAGGTTTACATTCATCCCAATAATCTTTCAATTGTTATTGCTGGCGATATTTATGCATAACAATCAGCAAAGATTTCTAAATTATACAAGCAATTCCCCAAAAATATTAGCCATTTACCCTTGTATATTCAAACTGATCCAACTGATCGCAAATCTCCATGCTTAATTACATGTATAAATACCCACCTAGCTACTATTCATATGGTTAAACCAGGGTGTATATGTTGCATTGACACAAACCTCTGCTTGAATAAAAAGTTACACTAAGACACAAAATAATTTATCGCCATACACACAAAATATCACACTTGTACATACACTAAGAATACGCAAAATAAAAAACACAGCATAAACTCTCACATTTGCACTCAATATTTCATTTATGAACAAATATGCCATTCACACACAAAATACAACATTTACTCAGGTTAAGAGTAATTTGCACAAAAATATAAAATTGTGTGTACGCTCTTACAATCATAGATGCACTTACACAAAAATTACACAACTTCATAAAAATCCTTCACAAAATGATTCACAAACAAATACACTTCCCCAGGAAGACTTTTTAATTAAAACACGTGCAGAATTTACACACGTGCAATTTATACTAGATACAATTGCTCAAGTTTCCACTACATCATTAAAACATCTTGCTAAATACACTATTTATACAACTAGCACTGAAACATTAAATGCACAGACTGCATTGTGGGGGAAAACTGCCGGGATTGTTATGAGAGGAGAAGTACTAGGGACTTGTACTCTACTAAAATTAAAAATTTACTGTATGCCAAATTAATTGAACTAAAGTCTCTAGCTAGGGTCGTAAATCCTAGTTCCTCTTTTCATAATTTTTTATTTGTTATTTATTATTTTCTACCACAGACGTGTCCACACATTTACAATGCTAACCAGCATATATACACTTTCTTCTGTCCTCCATGGACAGGGTTAGAGGTGTGTTAAACATATAGTTCAAGGGTTTATTGAACACTCAACCACAGGTGATTTAGTGCTTTCAAAATGCTAATCTAACCTACATATGTAAATACATAGATACAGATTTACGTATGCCCTACATAAAGTGTTCGATGTCTCTTTTACACAGTGTCATTAATGTGCATTTACAAAGGTGAAATGTATTTCTGATCAGCTTCCATATATACTTTATACACATACATATACATACATACACACACACACATATACATACATATACATATATACATTCATAATGAGACTGTGGGCTGTAAGGGGCCGGTGGGGGGTGAATGAAGAGGTTGATTGAAGCTCCACAATCCACCTGCAGGCAATTATCTCACATCAGCTTGTATTTTTAATACAAGGATAAGATTTTAATAAATTCAGTTAAATGACTGAAGACTAGTTCTGTTTAAAGCAGGGATTTAAACATGTACATAGTCCAGCCTAGCACCATAACTATCAACAGCCAATATTCATTTACTATAAACAACAATTTAAATTGTAGAAGTATGATATTAAATGACCTTAAATGTGGTCAAAGTACTGTTAACTAAGTACTAAAGATTATATTCAATTAGATAAACGTATATTACAAATTAAAGATAACTAAAGCAAGCAATTGTCAACTTAATTTATATGTTCAAGTGTGTGTGTGTGTGTGTGTGTGTGTGTGTGTGTGTGTGTGTGTGTGTGTGTGTGTGTGTGTGTGTGTGTGTGTGTGTGTGTGTGTGTGTGTGTGTGTGTGTGTGTGTGTGTACTCACCTAGTTGTACTCACCAAGTTGTGTTTGCGGGGGTTGAGCTCTGGCTCTTTGGTCCCGCCTCTCAACCGTCAATCAACAGGTGTGTGTGTGTGTGTGTGTATATATATATATATATATATATATAATATATATATATATATATATATATATATATATATATATATATATATATATATATATATATATATATATATATTATATAAATATATATATATATTATATAAATATATATATATATATTATATAAATATATTAGTATATTTTGGTAGCAGTCTTTCCTGTAGACATATATTATTAAATATGACCGAAAAAGTAAGATTAATAATTCTAACACGAATTTTCTCAATCTTTCGTACATTACGCTTCACTGTTGGAGGTAAATCAAAAATCACTTCTCCAAAACTCATTTTTATTTCTAGTCTGACGCGACACGGGCGCGTTTCGTAAAACTTATTACATTTTCAAAGACTTCACAAATACACAACTGATTAGAACTTACATATCTCTGATTTTATATCTACATTTGAGTGAGGTGGGAGGAGTGATGTGGCATTAACACAAGACAGAACAAGAGGGGATATTAATAGGGTATTAAAAGTATCAACACAAGACAGAACAGAAACAATGGGTATTGAATAGAAGTGTTTGTAGAAAGCCTATTGGTCCATATTTCTTGATGCTTCTATATTGGAGCGGAGTCTTGAGGTGGGTAGAATATAGTTGTGCAATAATTGGCTGTTGATTGCTGGTGTTGACTTCTTGATGTGTAGTGCCTCGCAAACGTCAAGCCGCCTGCTATCGCTGTATCTATCGATGATTTCTGTGTTGTTTACTAGGATTTCTCTGGCGATGGTTTGGTTATGGGAAGAGATTATATGTTCGTTAATGGAGCCCTGTTGCTTATGCATCGTTAAACGCCTAGAAAGAGATGTTGTTGTCTTGCCTATATACTGGGTTTTTTGGAGCTTACAGTCCCCAAGTGGGCATTTGAAGGCATAGACGACGTTAGTCTCTTTTAAAGCGTTCTGTTTTGTGTCTGGAGAGTTTCTCATGAGTAGGCTGGCCGTTTTTCTGGTTTTATAGTAAATCGTCAGTTGTATCCTCTGAGTTTTGTCTGTAGGGATAACGTTTCTATTAACAATATCTTTCAGGACCCTTTCCTCCGTTTTATGAGCTGTGGAAAAGAAGTTCCTGTAAAATAGTCTAATAGGGGGTATAGGTGTTGTGTTAGTTGTCTCTTCAGAGGTTGCATGGCTTTTCACTTTCCTTCTTATGATGTCTTCGACGAAACCATTGGAGAAGCCGTTATTGACTAGGACCTGCCTTACCCTACAGAGTTCTTCGTCGACTTGCTTCCATTCTGAGCTGTGGCTGAGAGCACGGTCGACGTATGCATTAACAACACTCCTCTTGTACCTGTCAGGGCAGTCGCTGTTGGCATTTAGGCACATTCCTATGTTTGTTTCCTTAGTGTAGACTGCAGTGTGGAAACCTCCGCCCTTTTCCATGACTGTTACATCTAGAAAAGGCAGCTTCCCATCCTTTTCCGTCTCGTAAGTGAAACGCAGCACGGAACTCTGTTCAAATGCCTCCTTCAGCTCCTGCAGATGTCTGACATCAGGTACCTCGGGGGACAGTATGGTGCTTCTGTAGTTGCCTCGATTCTTTCCTCCTTCTGCAATAAGTTCTGCTTGTAAGGTATCTTTGGTAGTGACCTTCTTTTGTGTCTCGAGGTCGAATATGTCGTCCAACAGAATTTCCAACTCTACTTTCCGGGCCATTTCACTCGGTCTGGACATAACATGACAGTTTATGCCCAGATTTAGGAGAGTGACTTGGTCCTCAGTGAGGTTAATTCCTGCAAGGTTCAGGAAGCCATCTCTTGGTCGTGGAATTGCCATAGGTCCTCCATATAATGTTGTTAGTTTCTTGATAATCCTTGTTTCAGTTTGCAAACAGGTGTCCTGTTTGCAAACTTCTACATGGGTACCATCGAGCAAAAAGTCTTAGTCGACATGAACTTGAAACCGGCCATATACTGCAGGTATGTTGACGACATTTTTACACAGGTACCTGATGTCAGACATCTGCAGGAGCTGAAGGAGGCATTTGAGCAGAGTTCCGTGCTGCGTTTCACTTACGAGACGGAAAAGGATGGGAAGCTGCCTTTTCTAGATGTAACAGTTATGGAAAGGGCGGAGGTTTCCACACTGCAGTCTACACTAAGGAAACAAACATAGGAATGTGCCTAAATGCCAACAGCGACTGCCCTGACAGGTACAAGAGAAGTGTTGTTAACGCATACGTCGACCGTGCTCTCAGCCACAGCTCAGAATGGAAGCAAGTCGACGAAGAACTCTGTAGGGTAAGGCAGGTCCTAGTCAATAACGGCTTCTCCAATGGTTTCATCGAAGACATCATAAGAAGGAAAGTGAAAAGCCATGCAACCTCTGAAGAGACAACTAACACAACACCT